TCTTCACAGATGCTGCCAGACTTGCTGAGCTTTTCCAACAACTTCTGTTTTTGTTCCTTAAAAAATATGGGGTTGTGGACTATCACTAAAATGCTGCCATGTTGTCACTTTGAACACCTGTCTGGTTTCTTCCCTCGGACTGGGTCCAGCACTGCACTGCCCCTTGCAGGAGCATTTATATGTTGATATAAAAAGCTCTTATGAATACATTTCAAGAAATTTGCCTCTTCTAAACTCTTTTTGCTATGATTATTCCAATTAATAATCATTACCTTAATCATTACCCTATTATTTTTACGTGTCTCAGTCCTGTCACCTTCAAAAATCTGTGTACAGGAGCCCCCAGATCCCTGTGTCCTTTTGGTGCATACTTGAAAACTATGCCATTAAGTCGGTATTGTCCCTCCCTGCCCCTTCTGCCAAAATACATCATCTCACATTTTCTGTATTAAGTTCTAGATCCCACTTGTCTGCCCATTCTGAAATCCTGTCTGTATGCTATTGAAATAGATTTATATCATCCTTGCGTTTTTCACACCTGTAGGTTTGGTATCATTAGCAATTATTTGAACTTAGTGCATTCCAATATCCAGGTTATTTATTCATATTAAAAAGATGCACTGGTCCTAGCACTGACCTTTCAAAACCAATGTCTACAATCCTGCAGTGTGAAAAACAGCCATTTACCACAGATGGAATTTTATCTTTCCTTGGATGACAGGGAAGAGGATGAAAGCAGGTGGATGTGAGGGGAGGGATAACAGGCATGTGGGGCTGCATGGAGGGTGTGGTCATAAAGTTGGGTATATGCACTGAACCACTCACCCAGATCCCAGACTCATTTGCAATTTTACTTATGGTATGAGAGGCATCAGGTGATGCACTCATACTTGGATTAATTGAGGTTTTTTAAGCAACTAATTAATTAATTAGTGGCCACTTTGATGAGCTGGCAGATTTTGGACATGAGACCTCCTCCCGAGATGGGATCAGAAATCTTTCCCTGAATTACTTAATGCCCTTTTAAACATTAAATAACTGCAGGGCAGCTTTGCTGCAAACCTTTTAAGGCCATGGTGGGAACGCTGCTATTATCTAAAATCTTGACCCATGACTTGCTGTTTTCTCTCCTTCAACCAATTTCTTTTATCCAAGCTGACACTGCTCCTTTTCTCCCATGAGCCTCAATTTTTTTAATCAGTCTTCATGTGGCTCTTTGGCACATGTCTTCCTAAGACCCATATAGACAAACCCATTTGTTTCCCTTCTTAACCTTCTTTGTTACTTGCTAAAAAAAATCATTGAAATTAGTCAAATGTAATCAGCCTTGTACAAATTTGTGCTATCTCAGCATAATTAACTAAAACCTCTTCAAGTCCTTATTAATTTGTTCCCTGATTATCGTTTTTAAGACATTACCCATTATTGATATTGAACGTACTGGCCTCTAGTTACCAGGAATATCTTTCTTGAACAACAGTGTCATGTTTAATGCTGTCCAATTTTGTTCTGCCTCCTGCCACTTTATGGTAACCTCTTCCACTATCTTCACCCACACTTCCCTTAGTAATCTGTAATGAAACCATTTAGAACAGTGGTTTATTTATTCACCATGTCTATTCAACTAGCAATTATTTATCTACCAATAGTTTGTCAGCATCTGCTCCTTAGTGGATGCAAGTACAGTTGCAGCATTTAAAAGACATTTGGATAAGTACATGAATAGGACAGGTTTGGAGGGATATGGGCCAAACGCAGGCAAGTGGGACTAATTTGGTTTGGGAGCATGGTTGACGAGGACTAGTTGGGCTGAAGGAGATATTGAAACTGTTCTGACGTCTGCCTGACAGCAACCTCCTGGATGGTTTGATCATCAGAAATTTTATGTTCCAGATTTATTAATAGTTGTCATGGTGGGATTTGAACTCCTGAGCTTAGGCTGGGCCTCTGGATGAATGGTCCACTGATGTCATTACTGCACCACCATCTCCCCACAAAATGCCCAGAATGGTCATTTTCAAGATAAAAGATGGCTAATGAGCATCTCAGCTTGGGTACAAGGGCCATCTGTTTCATAATACTGCATAGTTGGAGTATAAGCATGGAAGAGTTTCTAAGATGTCCCTAATGACTTTCAGATGAGGTTAGTCTGCCAGATTCCAGAAGAAAAAGAGGAGAGCTGCCAGAGGCTGAAGGTTTCTGAGGATCACTGCAGAAATGTAGGTAGAGCTCACATTTGGTTTGGAAAAACAGTATTCATTGAAGTTAAAAGGAGGCTAGAAAACTTGCTTGCCTTTAGGCAGAGAGAGAAGTCTCCAGGAGAACTGTTACTTTTAAAAGTTTCCAGGTTGGGAAAGAAAAAAAAAAATTGGAAGTGAATGCTTGGAGTGGGTAGCAGAATGCCTGCTTGAAGCACTATGTAGCGTATACTGTTAATGGGTTTCTGAGTTTAATATTAGATGTTCTGTCCAATAGCTCAATATATAAATTGCCTGCAACAGCAGTGATTAAGCAACAGTGCTTTCAGTCTATTTGCTATAGTGACTATCTCAAACTATAAAATCTTGTGTTATCCATTCCGCTATTAACTGGAAGTTTGATTTTTTTAAAAATGTAACGGTTACAATGGTAATCAAGGCAATACTATCCCATGAAAGGATATTAGACCAGGTGGCAAGGAAAGTTCAAACATGAAGGATTCTAAAGATTATCGTAGGGAAAAGAGAGACACAAAAAAAAAACTGTTCAGGGAAGGAAAACAAGATC